ATGCCCTGTGCTCCATCCACACACGTTACACTATGCTCCTGGACATCACACCGATGTTAGTGCACACACGTGCTGTGCCCCTGCCCGTCTACACCACACTGTACACACTCTCCACGTGGATGTGTCTTCTCAGCACCCCAGGCCCCTCTTCCCCTCCCTCCAAACCCCTGACTATAAGCCTGCAATGCAGGCTCTCCCCAGGGCCACCCTGAGTTGTGGGGACCCCCAGTGCTGGTGGTACCTTGAGTGATGGAGCCCCGGATGTGGGGCTGCTCCTTGAGATGGTGGGGGCTGTGGCGTTCAGTAGGGATGGCGCGGCCCATGAGACCTGGGGACAGGACCACCTTGAGTCCCTGACCGGCCCCACCCACCCCTCCCAGTTGTGGGACCCCTGAGACTGAAGGCCACGTCTCCGACCACCATGAGTGGCCAGGAACTCAGCACTTCAACTCCTGGGCTCTGCACTGCCCAGCCTGAGCCCCAGACACGGGCCCCCTGCCTCCCCATCTGTAAAGCAGGACCTGCCACCCACGTTCAGGGACCAGGAAATTACGTCCGTCACTCTCCCCACCGTCGTGACAGGCTAGCAGGAGCCCCGGGGTCTGGCCGGGCACCCACCCTCGATGCTGGCCGAGGAGATGGCCCGGCTGGCACGCCCCTCCATCATCTCATAGGTGCGCTTGGAGGATGACGTCTCATGGCTGGGCCCAGAGCTGCCCCTGCCGTCCTCCTTGGAGCCCTGGGACACAGACATGCCACCTGGACAGTGGACAGGAGGGAGGGGTCAGGCAATCATAGCATCAGACAGGCTGGGCCCCAAAGCCGACCACTGGGCTGAGGTCGCCTGACCTTGGGCTACTGTGGACAAGCTGGTGACAGAGGCACCAGGCGGCTGCTGGCACGGCAGCACCTGGACCAGGCCAGCAGTACGGTGGGCACTAGCCCTCCACGCTCTCCCCACATTTTAACAAGCGTGTATCAGCAGGCTGTGAGCCCACTGGACCACGTATATTGTGGGCCCTGTGTGTGTGTGTGTCGTGTGCACATGTCTGTACAAGGAGAGTGCCTGTGGGAATGGGGGCAGAAGAAACCTCCTTGTACAGGGGCGAGCCCAGAGGGACGGAGACTGAGGTGGACATCGGTGCCTGGACAGAGGCTTGGTCTGGGCCACCTGGCAGGGCTCCAGAAAGGGGACCCAACTCCCAGGCGGGCTGTGGGGGACCCAGCGGGGGTGACCCTGGCCACAGCTCAGAGCAGGCGGAGGATCTGAACCTGCTTCCTCATCTGACCCTCTGCACTCTCTGCCCAGAGGTGCCCAGCGGGGCTGGTGGCCCAGCCCAACCTCTGGATGCACCACGTTGCCGTTTTAGAACTTTCCAAATACGCTGATCTTGAAACACTGAAAAATCGGAGGAAAATGAAGAGACCTCACAGGGGAACAGGGTGCCCAGCCCCAACACCCAGCTCTGTCCACGTTGCCACAGTCCTCTCTGGCCCCTACTGCCCACCTGGGAGGGAATGCTGGGATTTAAAGCCCCAGGTTCAACCCTGCAGTGAGATCACTCATGCTCGGCCACTGGCCCCGCCCACACCTCCAGGTGGTACAGCCCACGACGGTCCCCATGATGTGACCATGTGGCCGCAGAGGGGTGCTCGCTCAGTGGTTCCGTGTCCACTGCCCCCACCCCGGCCTGCACAGGTGGGGGAGGCTAAGCGGGCAGGAGAGCCGCTTGGGGACGGCAGCCAGGCCCCGAGGAGACGGGTCACACAGGGCACACCACTGCCAGGGGCCTGTCAGCGCTTGTCATCCCCATCTCTGGGACCCCCAGCTCTCTGCTCCCTAGACCCTGTCCTCAAAGGGCTCACCCTGGCCACTAACCCTGGGGGTCATTCCCACAGTGCAGGCCTGGTGTGAGCCGGGACCTCTGACCCCCACCTGCTTCCGGCGAGGTCATGCATACTTGTGCCTCCCAAGCTCTCGGGCATAGATGCACGCTGCCATACGCCGGTGCTGAGCCGGGCTCTCTGCTTGGATGCCTCCAGGGACGGGAGGATCACCACCTCTGACGGGGCTTCCTGATGTCGCCTCACCTCCTCCCCACGGTCATCACCCCCTCCTCAGCCCTGGGCCACCTGTCCTGAGCTCCTACACCTCACTCTCTAGGCCTCCAGCTGGGAAATGAAACCTTGCACAGCAAGGTGCCCACAGTGAGCCTGACAGGACAGTGCAGACACCTCAGGCGGGATACCAAGCACGTCCGACCCCACCTCAACCAGCATCAGGGACAGCGACCTGCCGTGTTCGGCTGGACACCTCTCTCCACTCCAGAAAACACACGAGTGACTTTGTGAGCAAACCCAGCAGACGAGGGAGCGTCTAGACGCACTGATGAGGCCCTCGGACACCTCGGGTGGGCGTCCGGTTGCTCTGCGCCCCCCCACTCACCGTCGTAGGACAGCACGTGGCCCTTCTTGCCCTCGTAGATGACGTGGCCTTTGGGCAGGCTGTCCTCCCGGCCGCGGTCCAGGCGGCTGGCGCTGTCCTCACCGATGATCCGGGTGATGGTGCCCTTGTACAGGACGTCGGCCGGGGTGCCCTGTGGACGCAGGAGTGAGCGTCCAGGCGGCCGCAGCGGAGCGGCCCACGCGTTCTCCAGACACGAGGGTCAATTCAGCTCGGACACAGGTGTCCCTCCGAGGGCACGTGCATGCGTGCATTTACAAGGACATGTCCACCAAGGGACTAGGGGCATTTACAAGGATGTGTCCACCAAGGAACTCGGGGCATTTACAAGGACATGTCCAGGGGGTCACCCGTACACGTGCTCACCTGGGGGGGCTGAGCCCAGAACAGAGCCCACAGCACCAAGTGCCACTGGGCAGGCAGTCCCCCCTCCCCCCTAGACTACTGACCCTGCCCTTGGCCCTGAGTGCCGACTAACTCATCTTCCAACAAGAACACGTGAAATGAGGCAGGCCACTGAGCGGTGTGATCCTGGCTGGCGTGGCCTCTCTGGGGACAGCAGGGTCCACTTAAAGGCGACTAGTCCAAGCTAATGTGCTCAGACACCTGCCACGAACCCCAACACCGTGACAGAGGAGCACTGAGGAATTCTGGAGGGGTTCAAACCACAGAAGTCCACGCGCCAGTTACTCACAGACAAACTTCACCCAGACCCACTATCACAGAAAGCCAAGGGAAAACGTAAGCTCTCCCGCAAGGGAGCCTGGTCGGGGGTTCTGGGACGTGCTAGCGTGTGTGACGTCCACGGCCACAGTGTCCATGCTGCACAGGGTGCAGTGAGACATGCCCTGCTGGCACCTGAGGGGTGACCCCAGCTCTGAGCCTGGTCACCTGCATCCCAGGTCTCCCTAACACTGAGCGGGGCTCCCTGCAGACTGACCGCCAACTCCAACTGATGGTAGCCCTCGGACAAGAACTGCCCACAGGGCTTCCGAGGCCCTCATCATGTCGGGTCCCGAACTCCACTGGGCCCTGAGGAGTGGTGGGTTTGTGGGCCGTGTGGTACAGTGACCCCCCAGGGCAGCCATCGCCTTGTGGTGAGGGTTGGGGGGCGGTGCTCCCCGTCCAGCAGCCTGCGGGCGGCGCGGGCACTCACGTGGGTGATGGAGCCGCGGTACGTGATGGTGCTCTCGGCTGGTGCCCGAGTGCTGGGGATGCCCTTGCTGATGCTTCCACCCGCCACCGACCCCAGCGACGTCCCTGTAAAAAAGGCTTCATCCTCAAGCCACCGCCGTGCCCTGGTGCCACCCCGCCCCGTCACAGGCCTTCAAAAGGGTCCTCAGAGTCACCGCTGTGCCCTGTTATCACCTCCAGAGCCCGCGGTCTCAGGAAGTCTGGGGGAAGGGTCAGTGGGAGGGCCTGTTCCTGCCAGGAACCTCAAAGGACACAGGAGGCTGGACACAGAGGACCGCCAGGCCTGATGCCTCTGCCACCTGTGTCCTTACCTCTTAGCACAGACGTCTCCTGGGCTGTGGGCACCCCCAGGCTCTCAGGGGGCCCGGCCTGGCCTCGGGGCGAAAGCTGCTCCTGCTTCACGCTGCTGAAGGGCGCTGGGTGGGGAGAAAGGGGGACCCAGGTCACTGGTGGGGCACAGAGAGACTGTCCCTCCCAGATGCACCCAGTATCTGCGATATAATGACCGCCCCCCACCTCCTCAGCCTGGGGTCTCTGGGACGGAAACCCTTACCCAGCTTCTTCGGGTCCACGGCCATGGGCAGCCCCATGGTGACGGGGCCCACGGGGGCCTTGGCATGCTCCGAGTAAGGGACATGGAGCTGGACAGACACACCCTGTGGGCAGAAGCCAGGTCAGTAAGTCTCCACGGTGCCCTCTGCCCGAGACCACTCAGGAGGCCTCATGGGAGTGGGCACTTCGCATGCACCTGCCCACCAGGTGACCAAGTCCCCTCTCCTGATGCCTCACAGCCCATACTCTCAGGTAAGGAGGTGCAGGCCCTTCCAGGAGCCCACAGCACTGGACCTTTCACTGCACAAATGGGGAAATCAAGGCCCGGAGAAGCTCAGCCATTTGCCCAAGGTCAGATGTTTTGGAAAGTCCCAGAAAGGCCAATGGGGTCAGAGGGGTCTGCAAGGCAGGATCTGTGACACGGAGTGTCCAGGGGGGCCTCGGGTAATTCAGACTCATGCCCAACTTTAATGGACACAGATCGGGTCCCTCATGGGCCCAGCCCCCACCCTGACCCACTGATCTCACATCCCAGGGCCCCCTTCCCAGAGCGGCCGCGTGAACCCCAGGGAGGGGATGGGCTTCTATCGCTCTCATAAACCCATTCTGCAGAGGGAAAGACGGAGCCCTGAGTGAAGGTGCTGCCTCTGGCCGCAAGCCCCTCTGCCTTACCTGGGAGATGGCTCCAAGGGGCCTCTCGAGGACACTGGGGTGCTTGGTGGAGGAGATGAGGGGTGGTGGGTTGGAGATGGCGGGTGGACGGGGTAGCACTGGCCGGGCACTATCATGTAGGCTCAGGGGCAGCGGGTGACCTGCGGGTGCACCTCTGTCCATCAGAGGGCCCGGGTCACCACATCCTCCCAGGCCTGCCCTCCACACATTTCCCCATCACCCCTTAGTTACAGACCTTCCACCCACCCAAAGCCTAGACCCCTGAATCAATGCCCCCCTAACTGGCCTCTGCTCTCACTTGACCGACAACAGTCCTCTCCCTTCACAGGAACTGAAGGAATCTTGGCATAGTTCACGCGCTCCAGTCTGCTGTAACCTTCAATGACCCCTCACCCCTGCTCTCAGGACAGTCTGACCCCTAAGTGCGCCTGGGGTCACCTGATCCAACCCTGCTGGGCACCACACCTCCTCCTGGCAGCAGCTGTAATTTCTTGGGCATCTTCAGTTCTTTCCTGCTCCTGGGCCTTTGCACGGCTGTTCCCACTCCCTGGCACTAGCTCCTCCCTTGGGATGCTCCGCTTACAGAGGCCTTGCGGGCACCTCGCTCCATCCCTGGGGGCCGGCCAGCCTGAAGGCTCTCCTGCCCTGCCCGGCCGTCTCTCCACTTAGCACAGCCCCTCAACCAGCTCTAGCACCATCTGGGCCTCCTTACCGCCCACCTTCTCAGTCCCAACCCTGTGCCTTCTCCAGATCTCAGCAGCCCCCTGCATGCCCTCCGCTGACCAGGCCAGCCTCCCGCTGCGCTCCCTCAGACACACGCAGTACTGGGCTATGGCAAACCGTCGGTGCCCAATGAGTGCCTGCTACGTCCTGGAACCGCCTGGGCCCGGGGGACTCACCAGAAGGGGCGTAAGAGAAGGCGGAGGGGTCTGAGGCGTGGGGGGAGGCCTTGATCACCTCCCGGGGGGGAACGGGGAAGGGCAGCCCCGGCGTCCAGCACGGCGTCTCCGTGGGCAGCTTCTGGGTCTCGGCTGAGAAGGCCGAATAGAACACAGACTTCTCTGTGGAGGTGAGGGGGAACGGTCAGGCTGCACCCGCCACTCCGAAGGACCCCAGCCGGGACCTTCCCACTATGGGGCCAGCCTAAGCAAGGTGGCCCCCCTCTTCTACTGGACCCCAGTCTCCATGCTCCAGGAACACGCATCCTCAGGTCCAGGGGGCCGTGTCACACACCCTTCCTAGACACTGACTTTGATTTGTCCCAAGAGTCGGCGGTCACACAAATAGGGTCAGTTCATCCACGGGGAGGCGGCCTCTTCTCCCCAAGCCTCCAGGTTTAAGCCCACAGACGCCTGACACTTGAAAAACCCCACCGCAGCGTGAAGACTTCCAGGAACCAGCCTCTATGCTGGACCCCCAAGCCCTCAGCTGGTCTGCAGCCCCGGCCAGGGAGGCCCAGGATGCAGACACGTTCATCGCAGCCGCCCCACAGCAGCTGCCCTGTGTGGTGTACACTACGTGCCAGACTCTGACCACTTCACAGCATTCAGCAGCGGCTCACCCCATTTTACAGAGGGGATAAACTGAGGCACAAATCTAGCACCAAGGAGCCAACAGCAAACCAATGTCCGAGCCAGGACTTGTACCCCTATCCTCCTGCTACCTGCATCACAGGTTAACGCACAGCATGTGTTTCACTCCTTTACCTCCATGACATCCTACAGAGACACAGCGAGAGTGTCCCCACTCTACAGATGGCAACACTGAGGCTCAGAGGTCACGGGGCCAACAGCCCACAGCTGGCGAGTGGTACTCAAGCCCAAGGGGCCAGGCAATGGGCGGTGACCTCCGATCGCAGAAGCCACACTGCCCACTGCAGAGGCATGGCACCAACCCTCTGCTTCCCTCCTGGGGCCGGATCTCTGCAGACACAGCGAGGGGCTCAGGTCTGCTGCTGGGGTCTCCTGACAGCCTCTGCCTTCGGTGCTAGAACTCGCCGCACGCCCTGGTGTGCAGGGCGAAGCCCGATCCCCAGGTCTAACTGGCTGGACTGGGGACAGAAGTGGCAGGGAGGCATCACTTCCAGGTGACAGGCTGTCAGCGAAGCAGGACAGTGGGGATCTATTGGTGATGCCCACAGCGGGCCTGACACGTGGACGCAGGCACCACGTCACCCATACTCTCTCACCGGCCACCTGGCAAAGCTGGCAAGGACACAGCGTGGGCGAGAGTAGCTCAAGTCTCAGGCTCCGCCGGCCTCTAGTGGAGATGCCTCTTTAGCTGGGCAAGCCCGCGACATTCCCCCATCCCGCTGGACCCTGCCACCCCGCTGCCCTGGTCCAAGTGCTCCAGCAGTGACCAGGGCAGGGGTGGCCTCCGGGGCTGGAGGGAAACACAGGCCAGGCCATGCCAGGCAGCAGCTGAGACCCGAGACAGCCTGTTCCCACGGTGGGTCAGGAGACACTCACTCCCCTAGGTCCAGAGGCTGCCCAGCAGCTGAGCTGATTGATGTCCACAATGTGGCAAACGTACTGGCCACATGTCTCCTGAGGGCAGCTTGGCCTGAGAACAGACCCACCACCAAGTTCAGAACTAGCCAGCGATAGCTGGCTCCCCGGAAGGTCCCCGTGAACTGTCCCCACAGGCACCTGACCTCCAGATGGACACCACAGAGCAACTGGTCGGACGTGTCCAGGTACCCTCAGCGCCGAGGGCCACTGTGACTGCAGCATAGGGCATTTTAAGATGCGAAGACACATATGTAAGCTCACACCGCAATGAAGTGCCGTGTCCTACAAATGTGTCAGCCCGAGAGGGTAACCGGACGGGCCCAAGACTCGCCCTGCTGCACTAGGGCGCTGGCAGGCCCGGCAGCACCTTCCCGGGCCAACACCTCGTGCATCCCTGGAACGCATCGAAGCAGGCTGTGGTGCATTCTTCCAGGGATTTTCACGCCCCCCAAGGGTCTACCCCATCCTGGGATGCTGGACCTGCAGTGTGCTGGCCATCAGGGCCTCTCCTCATACCAGCCACCAGCACTCCGCCTGGCCTGGCCTCTGAAGCTGACCTCCCTGGCCCCACCCTCACTCCCAAGCCTTACAGAAGTGTTCTCAAGAGTCCACTCCACCAAGAACCCCTCCAGATCCTCTCCCCGCCTCCCCCCCTCCGCCTCCTGGCTGTCTCTCCAATAGCCCTCTCCTGCCCTGGGCCCTCTTCAACCTGCTTCTGCCTCAGCCTAGGGCGCTGTCCCCTCCTCAGTACACACCTGTCCTGCCTGGCCTCGCCACGCCCTGCTCGTTTCCTCTGCACCCCGGGTCTACTTCCTCCTTCACAGAGAGCCCTCAGCTCTGCGCAGAGCTCAGCTGTCACCTGGGTGACAGCAGGTGGAGGGTAGGAGGACACGGGCAGGGCCAGCAGCAGGTAGAGGGCAGAGGGAGGTGGGCGAGGCGGACAAGGAGCAACGGGCAGCCTGGGCACTCCTGGAAAGCATGGGCCTCCTGAGGGCCAGCCCTGCCCTTTGTCCTCGATGGGCCCGGCTCATGGCTGCAGGCCAGCCCTGCTTTCTAGGGAGGGAACAGGTCAGGGAGCAGACACGCCAGCAACGGCCGCTCTGGCACTGCACAGGTCCCAGGAAGGCCAAGGCGGGGGAACCACTGGCGGGGAGGGGGCCTGCTGCCCTCCAGCTCCAGCCGGCAGAGTCCAGAGCCCATCAGGAGTGGGCAACACTTGCAGAGGACGTGGTCACCCCCGCCCTGGCTCATGTGGGCAAGGCGTCTCAGGGATACTTCTGGGGAGTTTCTTAGGTCTGCCGTGGACTTGCCCGTCTCCTGACCTTGACCTCTCCAACACCATCCGGGCAGCTGTGGTCACTCGGGTGCCTGGGGAGTTGGCCCAGAGGCTGGCTCCCGGGAGAACCCAGCCACCTCTGCCCGGAACAAGGTCACGATGAGAGCCAGAGTGGGGAGAGCCAGATGGGCACCTCACACAGGCTTCCAGATGCTGCACTGAGGACTGAATGACCACACCAGAGGCCCAGTCACAGATACACTCATACTTGTACACAACGCTGGGAAGCTGGGGGCTTCCCCGAGGAGGACGGGGACTCCCCAGGCTTGTAATCCTGCACACAGACTACCAGCCAAGGGAGACGTTATGCCCACTTCTGAAAGAATGTGACTTCACAGTTTGCCACAGTCTCCACCACTCCCTACTGCCTCACACCCTGGTCTGCCCTTCTTTTCCCTGCCTGCTCACTACTGGCGGAGTTAGCTACAGTTTTCCTAGACACACAAAGGCCTCGCCCTCTTGGTCTCTGGGCCACGCTCACCTTCCTTCTCGGGTGGAGGCACTGGGCTCCTGCTTTTGCCCCGAGGGCTACTGTTAGGCTGCTGGGGGGCGTCGCTCTCCGGCTGCAGGTGCTGTGGGGGCGGCTGGGCTGAAGGAGCTGGCTTTGGGGGGGCTGCGTCCTCCCGGGCGGTCTCATGGGCTTTGGTGACCTGCTGAGGGAAGGTGGAGGAGAAGTGCATCAGGGAGGCCCGGGGGACCTGGAGACAAAGGCCCATGATGGAGCCCAGCAGGAGAGAGCCTCAGGGCCTAGTACTTACAATGGGGGAGCTAGGCCAGGTACTTATGATCTCGCCCAGCTGGGGGGAGCCTGGGGGCCTTGTACTTATGACGGGGGCTATTGGGGGAAGTCTTGGGGGCCTGGTAATTAGTATGAGGGGTAGCTAGGCCTGATATTCATGAGAGGGGCTCTTAGGGGGAGCTAGAACTGGTACTTATGAGGGGCTCTTGAGGGGAGCCTCGGGGGCCTGGTACTCACGATGGGTGGGATGGCCGCTGCGCGCTGTTTCAGCTGCTTCAGGTCCAGTGGCTTCTGGGACGAGGCGTGGGCCCTGGCTTCGCCAGCAGGGGTGAGCAGGCTGGGCCTGGGCGACAGCAGTCTAGGAAGGAGACGAGGGTCAGGGCGGAGTGGCAGACCACAGGTCAGGGGAGGACTCCAGCCTCCCAACTTGGGACGGGCCCCAGCAGGGCCGGCAGATAGCTGGGAAGGAAGGAACACTGAGGGCCACTCCTGGTACCACCGGAGGAGGCCGGTAGGACCACGGTGGGAAGAGCTGGGGAGCGGTGGCTGGCCCGCGCTCCTGGGGTCCACGCAGGCCCTTCAGGGCCCCGCCCCACCCAGCCAGTGGAGAACAAGACCCTCTAATGTCCCTGAGTTGCCCTGCAAAGGAAGCTGGAAAAGTCAAGGTGTGCTCAGGGTCTCGGAAGGTGCCAGAAAACTAGAGATCATGCCAGGTTACGTCACCTGAGTTTAAGAATGTGGGAGACTGCCGGCGATTGAGGGGCGCTGAGCCCCTGAACACAGCCTAGCCAGGTATGCTTCCTGGAGGCAAAAGTGGGGTGCCAGCCCATGACGTCGAGGCTGCACAGCCAGGGGGTCCCCTCAGCCTGCACACCGAGGAGGCTAAACGTAATCTGCTGTGGCCGAGCTGGGCAGTGCAGCCATCATCAGGGCCAGGTCACCAGCCGCAGAGAGCGTGAGGGCAGCCAGGTGGCCAGGAGCCTCTCAGGCAATGGCCCTGCTGCCTCCGTTCCAAGGTGCTGTCACCTCGGTGGCCAAGTCCACACCGCCTTCATGAGGGGCTGTGTAGACCCATGTCCACCCACAGGAGTGCCCAGCCTATACCGCCTTTGTGTGTGGGGGTGCAGATCCATGTCTACGCTGTGGAAGGATTGAGTCTACACTGTCTAAATGAGGTGCTGTGTAGACCCATGTCCACCCACAGGAGGGCTGAGGCCCTGAGGAGACAGGACCATGTCCCCCCAGAAGATGGAACAGGGCAGCTCGCAGCCCCAGCTGCCCTCTGGGGTGGCCGAGGCTCAGGGGCCAGGCAGATGAGACAGACCCAGGCCCACTACACTGGTCCCCGCCCACATCTGTCACACACTTGGCTTAGCAGAGAGGAACACGGACTCAGGGACCCCTGCTGAGTGCCCCTCGCTCCTTCCTGTCCAACCAGCCTTCAGCCCTCGCCTCTGAGGCCCAAGGGTGGACCTGTGACTCCCACATCCTGCCACTTGCCAGTGTCACCAGGTTCCAAGGGACACTCTGCCAGCCCAGGACATCCCTGGGCCAGTCCTCCAATGAAGGACCAGAGTCAGTCACCTTGAGGCCCAGCATGTCCACTCCCACATGTCCCACGAGTGCTGCAAACACGTGTCTGAGTGCAGAGTGCAGGACGAGCAGTGCCCATCAGCACAGGTGTGGAAGACACGAGGGGTGGACACGCCGTCACCCTCCTGTGCAACCCAGGACCACCCCACACGGTTTCCACGGCTCCACATCTCTGTGGGAGCAGCCTGCCTGTCGCCTCTTTCTTCTGTGGAACAACTGGCAGGTTTGAACTGCCGACCTCGCTGTTCTCAGCCGAGCACTCTAACCATTACGCCCCCAGGGTTCCCTGGACACACTATTTGTTCACGTGCAAAAGAAGGAAGCAGTTATTCAGGACACGAGTGTGGACGGACCTTGAACACGTCACAGTGACTGTAGGAGAAACCAGACAGGACACAGCACACGTCTCCCTCACTACTGTCCTACCACACGTCCACGCTTTGCCCAGAACGGGGAGACCTCAGCAGAGGGTGGGAGGTCACCCCGGTGAGGCTGGGCCCCAGAGAGGAGGCCGGGAAGGGGCCGCTTGGGTTGCTCCCTCGCCCCTGCCCTCTCCTTTGCCTGGGAAGACTACAGCTTTCTTCTCTGGATGGGTCAGGCCAGGGTCCAACAGGGCCTGGCACAGGCATGTGGCCCGGGAAGCTGACCAGATGTCCCTCACCACCCCTCACTGAACTCGGGCTTCTGGCACAGACCCGAGGCTCGTGCCTCAGTTTCCTCATGTGCACTGGGCATAAAGGCTGCAGGCAGGTGGACGGGGCAGTGTCTAGGCTGAGGCCGACCAGCCAAGCACTGCAGGTTTCCTGCTGGTTCTGGAAGCCCAGTTTGGGAAGGGTATGTGGGAGGGAGCAGGAATGAGGAGAGGAGAGGCAGGTAGGTTTCTACCCTCTGCCTCAGTTTCCCCTGTATCACAGTGCTGGGAGAATCCCTGCCACCAACCTGGGAGAGGGAGGCTGGGCAGGGTCAGGTCCTCCCAGGACCCCAGACCACAAGGCCACATCCCATCCTCTAAGTAGTCTTGGGTTTCTGACCTCCTCTCCCTGAGAGCACAAGGCTCTACCAAGACAGAACGCACGTGGCCACAGGGCCTTTGCACCGGCCTTCCCCCCCTCATGTAACCTTTTAATGCAACACCCTGACAGAAAAGGGCTCTGAGTGGGAGGCCCATCTGTCACACTGCCACCTAAGAAGAACATCGTATTTGGGAAGACAGCGAGTCCACGCCTTACGATGGACTGGGACAGCAGCTCAGAGAGCAGCCTCACACGCGGCAAGCATGGAGGACAGCTACATAGGGCCGCTGGAAGGCAGAGCTGACCCCACAGCACCCTGGGCCGCGTCTGTCTCGCCCTGTCCTGTTCACACCCCACAGCAGCCCCTCGAACTCAGTCCACTGCTGACTGAGCAAACGGACAGAAGACAAAACAGCTGTTACCAACCCTTCACCACCTCCTCCCCAGAGTCCAGAGGGGGCTCGCTGGGGGTCCACGCAGACCCAATGCCAGTCAAACCTTCACCGAGCAACACAAGGCTGACCGTGGTGATTCATTTTACGGACTTTCATACTCCACAGATGAAAAGACTGAGACTCTGGGAAGAGGAATGTTGTGAAGGCCAGGCCCTGCCACAGGGGCCAGACACGGCCTCTGGGAACTGGAGTCGGGGAGGGCGGCAGGCCCAGGGCTGCCAGGGATGGAAACCACTCCTCTGGCCCCGGGCCAGGAACACTCCTGAGCAGAGCCACCTGGTAGAAAGTGCCAGCGGGCAAGTGCAGTCCACTTCCCGAGTCTCCCGGGGCCAGCGGGGGCTGGTGAGACTCACCCACATATGCCAGTGGCAGGGCACCAGGGTGGGCAGCTGGACTGCGGGCAGCGCAGGCCGGGTATGCAATGATGCAGGGCCGGCATCTCCCAGCATCCACCGGGCCTGTGCGGCCATGTCCCAGGGAAGGGGGTGGCTGGTTGCCAGCAGGAAGAGGTCAGCAGGATGGCCAGAGTCCAAGAGCTCCAGAGAGACCCAGGCAGACCCGAGGGCGGGGACCACCCGGTCACACAGGGTGTAACTGACCAGGTGTCCTGACTCTGCACCCAGGGCTCCCACCCTGCCCGGGGGGTTGAACCTGGGACACTGGTTGGCGGGTGGGGGAGGCTGACAGTGGACAGCTGCTGGGCCAGCAGGGGGAACTGTTTCTGGGGAGAGCAGTGGGCCTCAGGACTGGCCAGCAGGAGAGATCATCAGAAGGAGGGATGAGCTGTGGTCCTCAGGAACCTGTGGCCCCTGAACACAGTTTGTCTGCACCCCTCACAGCTTGCCTGTCCCACGAGGTCATCAGGCCATGGCCACAGCCAGCAGGCGCCCACCCGCCTGCCCCTCTTACCCACGAAGAAACTGAGCAGAGAACTGCCTGGCTGCGGCCCTCCTGGCGACCGTGTGTGCCCAACACTGTTTGCTGAGCTGTGCCTGATAGCTCGGACCTTTGCACCCCGCAATCCACAGGCCAGGACTTGGCACAGTCCTAGGTTCCCGAGGACATCTGTGCTGGCATTCCACACAGACACACAGTGCGGCCCCCCCAGATCTGTGCTGGCAACACACACACACACACACACACACACACACACA